GCCACCCGAGGTTGTGTCAAACGAAGGGCTTACATCCCAAGAACCATCTGTCACTGAGGCGAGCGAGGATGAAGTTGAGGTCCTGCCCCAGGACATCTCGCTCGGTAAAGAGTGGGTGATGAAGATGAACGTGGGGATGGACGTCGTGCATCTTCATGTATGACCTTTAAAGGTTATTCTTCTGTCGTCCATTCTATTATTTTCGAAATGCAATATGAAATTCTCATGATGCCGACTATTATCAAATCACTCAATCCCTAATTCATGTTTAGTTTATCTTGTTCACCAGCCCATACTGATTTTTATTACTCTAGGGTCTAACTTTTTCTTTTGGTAATCACGATAGAGTCACAAACTTATTTCTCAAAATGAGGATATGACTTTATAGCCTATACTCTTTTGTTGTCTAAAGGCCTTTCACCTCTCGTCTTTTCCTTCACTTGACTATAGACTCTGTAATACTGTCATTTTTTTTTATCTACCGTTGTCATCCATGTATCACATCTTACTCATAATGCTTCATTAACTCTCTTCTTATTTTTCCTGCTAACATTTCTATCTATCACTTTATTCTGAAAACCTCAACAAGACATTCTTTTGCTTTTAGTTCCCCTTGCTCCATCCACTGGCTATTCGGATCGCCTAACGTTCTCTCTCTACTAGGAACGGGAGTTATACTAAGATAATATTTATCCCTTCCAGGATTCCAGTACCTATCTTTGTAATACCCATATCTAGTTGTACTATTTTAGAGTGCACCATCTGGGTGTCTTACAAGGAGATCTATTAGCACATTTGTAATATCCTTCAGAAATGTCAACTAACGCAAATAATCCATCCACCATTTTGGGTTACTCTAAACACATCTAGATTCTGATATCTCGTCCTTCTCTTAAACCATATATGTTAGCTCTCATAGGGCATAACTAAGATGGGTGTGGGCGACTGTACATACATCTATTATTGTTGAAGGTAACTCAAAAGGCTTATATTTCTCTGCCTGAATTGTAATATTGTTAATCTTCATTAACTGTGTAGCTCGTACCCTCCTTCACCTTACTTCTTTTATTTGTTGAAACTTATATCTACCTTTTAAATCTCTTATTTCTTTTCACCATATGGGTGGGTAGATATTCTTGCCTTAAGGCTCCTTATTAAGAAGCTTTATATGTCTTAGTACATACATGATCTGCTAAAGACCTTACATTTACCCATCATAAGCATCATGTAAAAATCAAGTTCCTCTGATCCAACTTTTCCATGGCCACAGTCAATCTCTTACCAGCTATCTTTTGGATGTAGGTATCGTTGTATTACGAATAAAATAGAGTTTAAGAGTTTGAATTCATATAACTGAGCTCTACCACACGATCTAGAGTAAGAAGAAAGAGTGACAGTCCTAAATGCCCAGTAGCCTCCTGCTTATAAGTGTGGTGCACAACACACCCATAAACAAGACTCTACTAGACACGGCTTGTAGACTCTCTAGGACAGAACTGCTTTGATACCACTTTTGTCACGACCCAAACCGATGGGCCGCGACGATCACCCGGTACCTTTCTCAACCGAGTACCAACGTAATGTATCTTTCGTATCATACTATTATGGTCATGTGGTACCTTGTATGGCACTAGTCATAAATATCGGGTATTATAGCTTGAATCGTATTTTTTCCCCAAATTGACAATCACCAACGAAACTCATTTTTTTTTACTTGCTTACCCTCTCACTTTCACGAATTTACTTATCACTTGTTTGAAATAACATAATACTTATAACCTCAAAATAATCTTGTTCTCGAGCTTACGTCGATTAACTTACGACGAAATTTTAACGTACAAAAATGCGGGATGTAAGATCTCATTTCCGAGCTTATATCAATTTACTTATGGCGTACTTTCACGTACGAAAACATGGGGTGTAACAGTATTAAACCACATAACGCACAAAAAATAGAAATTATTGTGCATGTTTGCTTGTCACCAATCTTCTTAAGTATTGCAGCAAGTTCTTGCTGTAAAATACACAAAAACCTCTTTATTAACTAGCCATGCAACAAAATTAGGATAGAAAGCAGCTGAGTAATCCAGCAAATTGTTCACTACTTAATCAGCATAAAAGGAGTGCAAATGCACACAGCAGGACAAGTCAACACTAGAAAAGCAATACTTAACTCTATTTCAAAATTAAAACTAAATGTACAAAGTCATCTTAGCATTTCATAAGCATCTGAATGATTCTGAAAATATATAAAAGAAAAATAACTCCAACAATGGACACTAATATATCAAACGACATTGTCAAAAGTTTTTTTTGAAACAAAAGAAAAAAAGAGAGATCAGTTTTATAAAAGAAATACCTAAATTGCATCGAAACCACGATTTTTTAACTTTCTCCGGCTAGGATGTGAGAAATTTCATGAAGGATATGGGAAAACTAAACATAAGAGTAATAAAAGTTTTACAATGGGAGAACTACAAAGGAAACGATTTTAAATAAAGCTAGTGGAAAGTGTAGACGAGAAGGAGAAGAGAGCGAGTAGGGAGCATTATAAGTTGGCTAATAAAGAGGCAAAGCTAGCAGTTACGGCGGCCAAAACTACAGCTTTTAGTCATTTGTATGAGAAACTCGAGAGCCGAGGTGGGGATAAGAGGTTTTTCATGTTAGCCAAGGCGCGAGAAAGGAAGGTGCGTGACTTGGACCAAGTAAAGTGCATCAAGGACGAAGAAGGTAGAGTTTTGTTGGATGAGGGGCTTATCCGTCGGAGATGGCAAATCTACTCCCATAATCTCTTGAACGGGGAGGGGGACAGGAGCATTGTACTGGGTGATTTGGAAATATCTCGGAGTCATTGTGAATTTGGGTATTGTAAGTGGATTAGTATTGATGAAGTTGAGGGAGCTATGCGTAAGATGAGCAAGGGCAAAGCGACCGGGCCGGATAAAATTCCGGTAGAGTTTTGAAAGAGTGCGGGTAAGGCAGGCTTGGAGTGGCTCACCAGGATATTTAATGTTATTTTTAGAACGAAAAAGATGTCCGAAGAGTGGAGGTGGAGCACGATGGTTTCTGTATATAAGAACTTTCGGGGTATCAAGCTGCTTAGCCATACTATGAAAGTTTGGGAGAGAGTGATAGAGCTAAGGATGATGAGGAGTGTGTCTATTTTTGAGAACCAGTTTGGGTTTATGCCGGAGCGTTCGACTACAGAAGCCATCCACCTTGTTAGGAGATTGATGGAGAAGTACAGGGAGAGAAAGAAAGACTTGCATATGGTGTTCATCGACTTAGTAAAGGCGTACGATAAAGTTCTGAGAGAGGTTTTATGGAGATGTTTGGAAGCTAGAGGTGTACATGTTGCCTACGCTAGTTTGATTAAGGACATGTATGATGGAGTAAAGACCCGAGTGAGGATGGTGGTGGGGACTCGGACCATTTTTCGGTTATGATGGGGTTGCGTCATGGATCGACACTCAGCCCTTTTTTATTTGCTCTGGTGATGGACGTAGTGACGCGCCACATCCAATGGGGGTGTCGTGGTGCATGTTATTTTCAGATGATATTATATTGATTGACGAGAAGCGAGACGGTGTGAACGCGCAATTAGAGGTATGGAGGCAGACCTTGGAATCTAAAGGTTTCAAGTTGAGCAGGACCAGGACAGAATACTTGGAGTGTAAGTTTAGTAGCGAGACTCAAGGAGGGGAAGGGGAGGTGAGTCTGGACTCGCAGGTCATCCCTAGGATAGGGAGTTTTAAGTACCTTGGGTCTATTATTCAGGGGAGTGGGGAGATAGATGAAGATGTCACACATCGTATTGGGGCGGGATGGATAAAATGGAGACTCGCTTCCGGTGTTTTGTATGATAAGAAAGTGCCACCGAAACTTAAGGGTAAGTTCTACAGAGTGGCGGTCAGTCCAACGATGTTGTATGGGGCTGAGTGTTGGCCAGTCAAGACCGCTCATGTCCAGAAGATGAAGGTAGCAGAGAAGAGAATGTTGAGATGGATGTGCGAGCACACCATGTTAGATTGGATCAGGAATGACGTTATTCGCGACAAGGTAGGTGTGGCCCCTATTGAGGACAAGATGCGGGAAGCGCGACTTAGATGGTTTGTTCATGTGAGGAGGAGCACAGACGCCCCGGTGAGGAGATGTGAGAGGTTGACTTTGGGGGCCCCACAGATAGGTGAAGGTAGGCCAAAGAAAAGGTGGGAGAGGTGATTAGGCAAGACATGGCATAGCTTCAGCTGACCGAGGACATAACCCTTGATAGGAAGATATGAAGGTCGAGGATTAGGATAGTAGAGTAGGTAGTCTAGAGTGTTCATAACAATAGTATGGGCACGCAGTACACCGCCTCGCCATCGCACCTATTAATTTTCGGCAAAACCAGCGATAGCGAGCCTTGTCCGAGCTCAACTCTCGGACTGCCATCAGTGGGCCATGGTTGACATCATATTCCACAAAGTCTGTCTTTCCAGATTTTCATGCAGGAATCCAGGCAACTTCCCATGCAGGAATCCAGGCAACTTTCCATGCTGAAATCCAGGCAGCTTTTCATCCAGGAATCCAGGCAGCTTTCCAGGCTGGAATGCACCAGGCTGTTTTAACAGCCAACCACCCCTTTGTATAGCCATTTTAGTTCTATAAATAGGCTTTGTTTTCATTCTTTGTAAGGGATCAGATATTGAATAAACACAACAGAAAATTGGCACTTGCCTCCCAAATTCGAGTCTCTTTATTTCAAAGCTTTCTTGCTTGTTTCGTGTGATTGCCATCGCTTTAGCACGATTGTGCTATTTATTGTCAAAGGGCTGAAGCTAAGTAGCAGTCAAGCTTACTTTGCTGCCCTCGCCGAACCTTCAGAAAAACGGTTCCGCGACAAATTGGTACCAGAGCCTAGGTTCTTGCATGGCTAAGAACTCACAACGTAACATTGAAGAAACCCACATTGAAGAGAACCCAGAACCACAAAGAGGCATGGGTCGAAAGTGCGACAAAAGTAGGGCCAGGGACGCATCTCCACCTGAAAGCAGAGTTGCTGCCCTATACTGCACCCGAAACTTCTCAAGCTATATCTCTAGATGAGAGAGTTTGTATGATAGAAAAGGGTCTAGAGGTCGCACATCGTCGTATTTCCGCTGCAGAAATCAATATTTGTTCACTTGAGTCAGTTGCCCTTGATGGACTTCAAGAAGTCAAAGGGAACGTTCAGGAGCAAGATGACGGGCTAAACAACCTTGAACTCAAGCTCACTGAGGCTTTGTCTTCCTTACAGGCAGAAGTTGAAGCTTTAAAACAGCGCCTAGAGGAGACAGCAGGAACCACTGGGCGAGGTCTCATCACTGTCCGAGAAACACGTATTGAGGCTCCCAAAACCAAAGAATTTCGGGGTGAAAGAAGCGCTCAAGACGTGGAAAACTTCTTGTGGCAGCTGGATGCTTATTTCGAACATGTAAGCATTACCAACGATGCTGCCAAAATCCGAACGGCAGCCATGTATTTATTAGAAACCACCATACTTTGGTGGCGCAGAAAGAAGGCAGATATGGAGAAAGGAACGTGCTTCATTGACATTTGGAAGCAGTTCAAAGAGGAGCTAAAACGGCAGTTTTATCCTCAAAACGTTGTGCACGAAGCTCGCCGACAGTTGAGGGAGCTTAGGCAAATATCATCCATCCGTGAGTACGTAAAGGATTTTACAAAACTCACCCTTCAGATCCCCAACTTGACCAGTGAGGATCTATTATTCCATTTCTTGGATGGCTTGCAGTATTGGGCCAAACAAGAATTGCAAAGGCGACAGATCGACAACGTCGATTAGGCTATTGTAGTAGCCGAGTCATTGGCAGATTTCCAGACCGGAGCGTCTAAGGGAAATAACAATCGGAGCCAAGCTGCTGCTGCTCCAAAGACGGACACCCACTGAGGCAAAGGCAGGTTTGTTCCCAATCGGAACAGTGATAATCGAGGTAACCGCAACAACTCTTCTAATTATCGCAAGGATTACGATGAGAAGAGAAAAGGAGGCGCACCGAAGGCTGCTCAGCGAGATGTTTGCTATCTCTGCGGAAATCATTCTCATACTGCTCGAGATTGTCCTACTCTGAACAAATTAGGAGCAATTGTCGCAGCACACCAGCAGCAAGGACAAACTGCTGTGCAACCCGAAGAGCGAAGAGCACCAGCTGATGGTGCAGGACAAGGGAAGAACAAGGCCGTAGGCTTGTTCAATCATATGGCCTTGATAAACCATATGACCATTGCCGCTATTGCTGCCCAACCGCCTCGTGTGAGGCCCCGTGAATCTTTATTCGTCGATGCCAAGTTAAACAGCAAAGATGTACGCATCATGGTGGATACAGGTGCAACTCATAATTTTGTGACAGAGGAACGAGCTAGGGAGCTTGGACTTGTCTTTATTTCCAGTGACACGATAATGAAGACTGTCAATGCCCTTCCCTCTACCGTTCATGGCTTTGCTCCTAACGTACAAATTGCTTTAGGAGACTGGCAGGGATTAACGGATTTCACCGTTGCTCCCATGGATGTCTTCGACATCATTCTGGGATTGGACTTTTGGTACGAGGTCAACGCACTTATTGCACCACGTATCAACCAGCTTCACATAAGCGATCCTGGAGGTTCGTGTATTGTGCCCCTTGTTCGGGTACCACAAACTGGAGTGCATTTGTCAGCGATGCAACTTGTGAAAGGTTTCAAGAAAAGAGAACTAACATTTCTTGCAACCCTGACGGGAATCGTTGAGCATTCCCTTGAGGCAGTAGCATTGCCTCCCCGCATTGAGCAAGTCCTTGATGAGAATAAGGACGTGATGCCGGAAGAACTTCCCAAACATTTGCCACCACAAAGGGAAGTTGATCATCAGATCGAGCTAGTTCCAGGGGCAAAGCCACCTGCCATGTCGCCTTATCGCATGGCGCCCCCGGAATTGGAGGAATTGAGGAAGCAACTCAAGGAGTTGCTAGAGGCTGGCCACATACAACCATCCAAGGCACCTTACGGAGCTCCTGTCTTATTTCAGAAGAAGAAGGAGGGTACCATGCGGTTATGTATTGATTATAGGGCCCTTAACAAGGTCACAGTGAAGAACAAGTACCATATCCCTCTCATTGCTGATTTATTTGACCGCTTGGGGCAGGCCAAGGTGTTCACCAAGATGGATCTGAGGAAAGGTTACTACCAAGTGCGGATTGCCGACGGAGATGAGCCCAAGACAACTTGTGTTACACGATATGGGGCTTTTGAATGGTTAGTAATGCCATTCGGTTTAACAAATGCTCTAGCAACCTTCTGCACTTTGATGAACAAATTATTTCATCCCTTCTTGGATCAGTTCGTTGTCATCTATCTAGATGATATTGTGGTTTACAGCAACAATATAGAAGACCATGCGGAACACCTTCGCAAGGTATTCAAGGTACTAAGGGAAAATGATCTGTGCGTCAAACGTGAGAAGTGCAGCTTCGCACAGCCCATAGTACAATTCCTCGGGCATACAATTAGCCATGGGGAAATTCGGATGGATAGGGACAAGGTGGAAGCTATCCAGGACTGGGAAGCTCCAACAAAGGTACCGGAACTTCGGTCCTTCCTCGGTTTAGCCAACTATTATCGGAGATTCATCTTCGGTTACTCGGCTATTGCATCTCCCCTCACTGATTTGCTGAAGAAAGACAGAGAGTGGGAATGGAGCGACATATGCCAGAAGGCATTCGAGAAACTCAAGGCAGCAATCACCAAGGAACCCGTATTGGCCCTGCCTGATTTCTCGAAGGTATTTGAAGTCCAGACTGATGCGTCTGACTTTGCTATAGGAGGCGTACTGATGCAAGATGGCCATCCTATAGCCTTTGAGAGTCGAAAGCTGAACGATGTTGAAAGGCGTTACACTGTCCAAGAGAAAGAAATGACTGCTGTAGTCCACTGCCTAAGGACTTGGCGTCATTACTTGTTGGGAGCACATTTTGTTGTCAAGACTGACAACGTTGCAACAAGCTACTTCCAAACACAGAAGAAGCTATCTGCCAAGCAAGCTCGTTGGTAAGACTTCTTGGCCGAATTCGACTACACCCTGGAATACAAACCAGGGAAAGCTAACGTGGTTGCCGATGCTTTGAGTCGCAAGACAATATTAGCAAACATGGTTAGCTCAGCAAGCAGTGGCATCATCAAGACCATCAAGGAAGGTATGCAACATGATCCCGTGGCAAAACAGCTTATTGCCTTGGCCAGTCAAGGCAAAACTCAGTGCTTTTGGGAAGGAAGAAGATGGTCTATTGTACACCACTGGCAAAAGGGTTTACGTGCCCAAATGGGCAAATCTCCGGCGTACTCTGCTGAAAGAAGGTCATGACTCTGCCTGGGCAGGTCATCCAGGGCAAAAACGCACGATGGCCCTGATCGAGTCTTCTTATTATTGGCCTCGGATGCGGGACGACATCGAGGTATATGTACGCACTTGTCTAGTTTGTCAGCAAGACAAGGTGGAATCCAAGCTTCCTGGGGGATTACTTGAGCCGCTGCCAGTTGCGGCGAAGCCATAGGACAGCATAACCATGGACTTCATCACGTGTTTGCCAAATTCGGAGGGATTCGGCACCATTATGGTGGTTGTCGATAGATTCACCAAGTATGCAACATTTTCGGCCACCACTGCCGGTTGCAAAGCTAAAGAGGCAGCACGCATATTCTTGAGGGACATCGTGAAGTATTGGGGCGTGCCTAAGCACATCGTAAGTGATCGTGACCCTCGTTTCACCGGCGCATTCTGGAAAGAATTGTTCAGCTTGTTGGGAACTCAACTGCACTTCTCAACAAGTTTTCATCCACAAACAGATGGACAAACGAAAAGGATTAATGCCTTGCTTGAATGCTATCTGAGGCATTATGTCAGCGCCAATCAAAGAGACTGGGCTAAGCTACTGGACATAGCTCAATTCTCTTACAATTTGCAATGCAGCGAGGCGACTGGGAAGAGTCCCTTTGAGCTTGCAACTGGGCAACAGCCCAACACTCCTCAATCATTGCCCGCCAACGTCGGATTGAAGAATCCGGGGGCTTTTCACATGGCCAAGTTTTGGGAGGAACAAGCCGATCTAGCCAGGTCATATCTTGACAAGGCAGCCCGCAAAATGAAGAAATTTGCGGATAGGAAGCGTCGCCCAGTCAACTACAGGATTGGAGACAGGGTTATGGTGAAATTAAATCCACGGCAGTTCAAATCACTGCGAGGCGTACATCATAGTCTGATTCGCCGATATGAGGGCCCGTTCGAAATTGTTGCCAAAGTGGGGATAATATCATATCGACTGGACATGCCGCGTCATCTGAAAATCTATCCAGTCTTCCATGCTAGCCAACTTAAACCATATTTCGAAGACATGGAAGAAAAGGATCGGGCGCAGACCAGTCGAAGCCAAATTTTTGCTACTCCGCCAGCAACAGACAAGCAGTTGGAGGCCATCATAGACCATCAGTTGGTCCGTGGAAAAGGATGGGGCAATTCAAGCGCACAGTTCCTTGTTCATTGGAAAGGAACTTCGTTAGAGGAGGCATCATGGGAGAAGTTTGAAGATTTGTGGCAGTTCAGGGAACAAGTCCACAATTATCTTCAGTTGTGTGGCGCCGGGGTCGTCGCCATTTCAGGTGGGGGAGCGGCACCGCCCCGCCATCGCACCTATTAATTTTCGGCAAAACCAGCGATAGCGAGCCTTGTCCGAGCTCAACTCTCGGACTGCCATCAGTGGGCCATGGTTGACATCATATTCCACAAAGTCTGCCTTTCCAGATTTTCATGCAGGAATCCAGGCAGCTTCCCATGCAGGAATCCAGGCAACTTTCCATGCTGAAATCCAGGCAGCTTTTCATCCAGGAATCCAGGCAGCTTTCCAGGCTGGAATGCACCAGGCTGTTTTAACAGCCAACCACCCCTTTGTATAGCCATTTTAGTTCTATAAATAGGCTTTGTTTTCATTCTTTGTAAGGGATCAGATATTGAATAAACACAACAGAAAATTGGCACTTGCCTCCCAAATTCGAGTCTCTTTATTTCAAAGCTTTCTTGCTTGTTTCATGTGATTGCCATCGCTTTAGCACGATTGTGCTATTTATTGTCAAAGGGCTGAAGCTAAGTAGCAATCAGGCTTACTTTGCTGCCCTCGCCGAACCTTCAGAAAAACGGTTCCGCGACAAATAGTTTCGCTTTCTGTTGGTAGTAGGTTTCTGTTATTTTCTTTCATTGTTGAACACCTTACTATCTTGTTGTTTTATTCTACTTTTATATGGCTTTTTGGTACTGTCCCTTCTTGCCTATATTTTCATTAATATTGTTCTTATACTTTCCGGAACCGAGGGTCTATTGGAAACAGCATCTCTATCCTCACAAGGTAGGGGTAAGGTCTGCGTACACACTACCCTCCCAAACTCCACGATGTGGGATAATATTGGGTTATGTTGTTGTTGAGCTAAAAGTATGGAAAGAATTTAAATGTGGAAGAGCTAAAATAAGAAAAAAGTCGAATAGTTAAAGGAAATATCCTGGCCCTTTTGTTAAATAAACATGACCTTATTCAATTGAAAAACTTTTTAAAAAAAAAATCAAAATTCAAAGTACAATATATACTACTCAGATATATATAAGAAAGAAAATGTAATTCCTCTGGTACAAAATATTCCTTTACCTTTTTAACTTTGAACAAAATATAATTCCGAGTTGCGCTTACTTTCTTACTTCGAAGCAACTAAAGATGATAATAGACACTTATCATTTATCGCACAAAAATTAGCCGGAAGTATGGGCATATCATTCTTTACGGAAAAGGTAATCTAACCAAAAGATTGTTTATGAAAAAGTTTGGGCGTGATCACACGACATAGTAATATCTTTTACCTCATATATAAAAGAAATATAGGTAAGTAATATTATGAAAATGATTTAATTATTCATCTTTGCAGGTAAAGATACTCAACAGTATTTTTCTTACCAACTACATAGCCGGAATCAAACGTAAAAATCGGAAGATTACAACAGTTAAGTGCCGTCATACAACTTACAACTCTCAACTACCTTGGCAGAACGTAGCTATCAATTGAGGCGTAACATACTAGATCAGCATTTCTGAAACACACGAGCTTTTCAATTAAATTAGATAATATCAAAAAGACATATTCAAATCGGTAGATATCTCTACAAATATACAGCTAACCCTGCCGGATAAAACCATTATGGTACACCTTGAAGTATTACATAATCTCCAAGATCTCAATAACACATCTCTGTCCCATAGAATTCAGATGGCAACGCTTGAGCTGAGTTTTCCTTGCTTTCCCCACCTATAATGAGCATGAGCTGATTACTGTGGTATAGTTGTTAAGGTGTTTCTCGACAAACATAAAGCAACATATGATGCGAGTTCACTGGGAATGTCCGAAGAATCACACACAACCAAAAGCTCTGCATCTAGAATTCCATAGATCCACTCTTTAGCCTTTCCATTCGTGCCTGGAGACCTGAAAGTGCCTTCTCATCCATAGGAAGAACCCCACTCTGAATGGAATTTTCAACGCTAGAATGTTCCATACCAGGAGCTTGACTTGACACCATGTGGCTGACATTACCATTCATGGACATTAGTGTTCTACTACTTGGGTCCGGGTTCCCCCCAGTTGCTGCTAATGACATGCTTTTCATTCTTTCACGGATTGCTTCTAGTGTTCCACTAGTAACTGCAACAAAAGCTAACTGGTAACTGACATTTGTTGCGAAAAGTTAATATATCAAAAAGGAAAAAAGAAGAAGGAAAAGGCTAGAGGAGAAATAGCTTAGCACATGCATACCTCCAGAAGGCAATCTATCATTTCTTTGTTCCCCCAATTGGTGCCGTAACTCCAAATGTTCAGATGAGAGCCCTCTTGAGAGCAGGGCATTACCACCCCTGTCATCTTCGCCATATGATGGTGGCAAACTAAATTGTGATGGTTCAACTTTATTGTTTACAGATTTTGCATCATTCAATGGGTTTGTATTTACGGGAGATAACTTGCCAAATTTGGGAGAAGACAGGTTTAATGAAGATGGGGGAGGAGTTGACATGGGTACACTAGAAGGCGTCCTTCCAGCCGCAGCATTCTTTTCCATCTGCAATATTATTTACACACAACAATTGCTTCATGACTGACAATTCTGAGTCTATAAATGTGTAGGTCAGAGATCCAATTCACACCTGGGCAAGACCATCTCTAATATATGTTCGGAATGCCTCACTAGCATTTTGCAGCTGAGCAAATATATCAACCTAAAGCAGATTGGACAAAATGATATTACAAGAAGTTCAGCATTATGGCAGGAACATAAGTTAACACTTAACAGGATGAAGTATTATACCTTGGGATACAATTGTGTGATCCGGTACAACTCATAAAGACCAATTGTGCATGTTTGCTTATCACCGATCTTCTTAAATATGGCAGCAAGTTCTTGCTGTAAAACACACAACGTAACAACTTTTTTATTAACTAGTACAAAAGAAAAGGGCAGCCCGGTGCAGGGAAAGGCCGCACCCAGGGGTGTAATATAGACAGCCTAACTTAATGCAATAATTAGTGATTAATTCCACGGCTCGAACCCGTGACATAGGTCACACAGAGACAACTTTACCGTTGCTCCAAGGCTCCCCTTCAACAAGTACAATACAACAAAATAGTATTTCACGTGATCTACTTACATGTAATAGATTGTAACGTGGAATAGCTGATGAACGAAGGAAAATTCACTTTTGAAAGGAAAACAAGCTAAAAAAATGATGGCGAACAACACACTATACCTTCAGCTGTGCATCTGCATTATGTGTTGCAGGTGCTGGATTATTCGCTGCAGAATCACCCCAGTGAGTTTGCCCAGGTACAGACGGAGTCAACATCCTTGCAGCTGCCAAGGTCTGAAAGATTATTAACATCAGTTGGGAACTCCACATGAATGACTAGAGCATAGAAGCCACATGAATGCAAAAAAACTGCATGACCTGAAGGTTAAGATCAATGTAAGCAAGAATAATGGGTGGTGGTTGCATGTCTATCGGCACCATCGATAGGTGACCTTTAATGGCAGTACCACGAAGCTTGACAAGCTCATGCAACACAGTTTTCACCATTCGTAAAGGTTTATCATCGGCTCCCGCTCTGTCAATATTTAATAAGATGAGAATTAGGATACAAAGTCGCTGTTAATCCATATTGAATCACATACCCAAAAAGCAAAAAACTGAAATCTAATTAAAAGACACCTCCTCCTGATCTCATCCATTCCTAGTTCTTGCAGGTAAATGTGAATGCTCTGAAGGATCCGATCAAGGTCGACATCATATATGGTGCTTTGAAGAACCTATATAATGTGAAAGAAAAGATTAATAGCTAGCCACAATATCAACCTTCAAGAAAGAAACTTGTCTATTATTACTGCTGCAACCTGAGAGAGCTTGTATAGATTTTGCATCCAGAAAGTTACTACAAACATATTTGCATAAAGACGCAGATACTGATAGAAATTTCCTACACATCACAATCTAAAAAATCCAGGAATGTTGCAGTGAAAAGCAATTAAAATTACCTTCGTAAGTTTTATAAGACATTTCACAACCAAATCAGAGAACTTCTGATTTCGTATGACAAGAGATTCATCTGTTGCTGGAGATGGCCACCTTGATGGGTCCAAAGGCCTTAATAATTTAATCAGCACAACGAAGGATGATGTTCGATCAGCATTGTCCTAGATTAGGGACCAACGATAGATAGAAAATATTCATGACAAGTCCGCTAAAACAAAGGTAAACAAGTATTACATTCTAGTTGATGAAATTTCAAAATCAGAAATACCAAGATTTTTAGCATCAGAACGTTCAATGCTTTCAAGAGCTGACTGCCATCATCCATGCGGGGTACTCTCTCATCAAGAAGCCAAAGCAAAAGCTCAGTAATGAGGATATCTAGGGTACTCTCCTTTACGGCATGAGCAAGTGTTCTATTCTGGAATGTCTGCAAACAAAGAAACAACCACAGCTTGAGATAACTCCCAATATGTGTTGGTCCCATATCAAGGAATAATCAGTATTGGAGAAAAATTAACAGAATTTGGAAAACCACATACCTGCATGAGTGTGTTAAGAACATATTTGCAAGATCTTGATGATGCACCCATCAGACTGAAGTCAAAAGTTCTTGCTACCTGTAGTCGGTCTAGAATATGAGCAGTGTGAAGCATATACAGACAACAAAGAATGAGTCACAAAAAGAATGATAAGTATTGTGCCTTATTTGCCAAGCAGGAAACAAGCTTGTCTGCATCTTTGACAATGTCGTCCATGGCACTGCCTTCAGGATCGTTGGTTGCTACGGCCAACAAATGACACACAACTTTCATGCCTTCAACAGACTGCAACAAGGAAAAGGTTTGCTTGCATCAGTGAATAAATGACAGTTACTCTCCATCCTCTTTAATGATGCATCCACAAAAGCAGAATAATCAGGACATAGACAACCAAACAAACAAACAAAGAGAGAGATGCATAACCAGCCGTAATAAAAATGTGCAATATACACAACAAGTGCATCAAATGAGAATTTATGCCCAAAAAATAAAAGGATAAACAAACACCAGCAACTGAAGGCATTCAACTCCAGCAATTGAAATATGGATCCAGATTTCTAAATTTGAATGGAGACAAATACCATCCATATTCTTAAACAAAAACACAAAAACATTGAGCATCATATTAATATTGGCAATCATTAGAACACCCAATATTGATATATTGTAGTACTATTTAGAGTATAGTTATTTTTACTCAGCTGCTGGCGGACGTATGGAGTATTTAAGCATTATACAACCCTATATTTCTTTAAACACGGGGTATGACAAGTGATTAAGATAAAACCACCTCTCCTAATCCAGGAAAAAGCAAAAGGAAAAACAACCTGCTCCGGAGAATCAGATGCTATAATATCCAGAGCTTCATTCCAGTCAGAGGGACCCATTGTACCAGAAACTGGCCGGAGATTCACAATTCTTTCCATCGGAAACTCTGTATTGTTATAAATATCCCTGGAAAGAAGAGATAAAACAAACATACAAAAAAAACCTTAGCAACCCAGATTCAGATTGGTAAGAGAAATAAGATGCAAGGATCTCTTGGTCACCTATTTAAGATTGGGCCAGCTAACGACCGTGAAACTTCACCACTCGGCTCCGCTATATCAGTCCTAGAGATCAGAAAATCAACATTTCCAATGTCAAAGAAGAAAGTAAATGGCTTAAGGTAACATACGAGCTCAATCTGGGTACAAAAGGCAGAACGAAAGCTCAAATAGATGTGGTTATTCTATAACCGGAAATTTTAAAATATAATTTTTTTCCCATAGAAACAAAACCAAAAACAAATTAGAACTTAAAGGAAGACCAGCAATTGGTAAGCTACAAGGTCAAAGTGTTCAATAAATATTTTGAGAATGAGGGTCAAAGTGTTCTATAATTATCCAGGTCCTAGACAGTTGATTGTTAATTAAAAGGTTGGATTTGCAGTCCTGGGAAAAGAGGTAATTTGATACCCCGCAAAAGTTGTTTTCTTGTCTAGTTGAAACGTTAAACATTGAAAGTACACTCCTCCAAAAGAAGTTTCTTGTCTAGTTGAAACTTTAAACATCGAAAGTACGTGGTGTGTGTACCAAGAAAAAATATCCTAAGCAATTAGATACCCGTTGTCTCTCACTGAACGCCTTAAAGCAGCCCTAGCTTCCCCAGGTCTTCCCTCTCTTCTTTTGTCCATCTCTCTAGCCTGGAAAAGATTAGTGAGCAATTCTATGAGAAAGGAAAGAGAAGAAAATATGCAAGAAAACAAAGCAAAAAGAAGAACAGAGAAGTTTACCTTCCACTTGAATCTATCATCTAACATGCTTCTCTGCGCCTCCGTAAGCTTTCCAAGATATTTCCAAATGTCATCACCTGAAAGACGTTTAATTAGAACCTTAACCAACATCCAAACTATTCTACCATCCATCCAGTTCAATGAAAAAGGATCAGAAGGAAAAACACACACACCGGGAGCTCAAGGAATCTTACAACCAATAGCCAGCTAAACTCAACCTTATACCAGTATTAATAACTAATGAGCCTCAAAATGAACACAAATTTTACAGTTTTGGAAGCCTAGCAAGTTACAGGTCTGGATTAAGGGTGGCAGGCGGGTCGGATCGGGTCAGATATGGGCGTGTTGAAAACGGATAAAGCAAAAACGGATAAAATATACGACCCGGCTCATATTTAATACGGATAAAAAATGGGTTAACCAGCGAATAATATGGATATCCATATTATCCATGGCTTCTTAATTATGATCACTTTTGGGAGAATTCCTAGTCTCCAAACTTGAGGAACCCCCAATTTGAGTCTTTGCAAATGTAAAAGTTAAACTCATTGGTTATCCATATTTTAAGGGGGTAATATGGATATTTATCCATATTCGACCCATTTTTAAAAAGTTTATTTTCCAACCCGTTTTTTAGAGGATAATATGGATGGATAACTGTTTTTTTAATCCATTTTGCCACCACTAGTCTGGATGTAACTTGCAAATATAGCTGCCAGCAAAATCTTTGTGATGATGAAGATCCAGTTACCATTTCCAAAACTAAAGAGCCTCACAGAACACAAACACTCACCAAGAATCTTATAGCCAGTAGCAAGAGTATTCAACGCAGCCTTCCTAGTTTCACCATCTCGTTCTGCTGTTAAATTTGCGACATCTTTCAACGATTTTAATTGTCCACCAATCTATCAGCAGGAAATACCATATGAGGATTAAGCAACTTCTAGAAATGAGAAGATCAATACACTCGGATCTTTACCTCAGCTTCATGATTATCCAGTAAGTAGCCAACAAGGTCAGCACATTCTATACGAGTTCGATTGCTCCTTGATCGTAAACCTTCCAAAATATAAGGAAAAGTCTTTGCAGCAGAATATGCGTGAATGATTTGCTTAGTTAGCTCTCGCATTTTTTCTCGCACTTTTTCAATGTTATGGCCAGACTGGAAAAGATTGAAAGAAGATATCAGACAGGTCAGTGTTAATGTGAAATAAATAGGAGGAGATGTTACATGTAAAAACCATCAGTTAACACACCTAAATATCCCTTTGTGTGAATGTAACATCAAACAATGTCAGACTACAATAAAAACCAAATGTCTAACATAGTCTGCTATCCGAAGGTAAACGCATACCAGAAAAGGCAGTTAGCTCGATTTACAGGTATGCCTATATACACACATCTAAAAGATGAATATAATAGGGTATTGCCGGTAATAAATAAGAAAATACTAAGGATCCAAGCTATCAATAATTATTTCTCATCTTACAATCGGTTGCTTTTCATGTCTCTCTTCTTTTGCCTCTGCAGGAGGAGAACAATGTTGATTTTGTGCTAAAGAAAAGGATGGAGTTGCCATTGCCAAATTATCATCGCACTCATTAACCACTTATCTTATGTCTTTGTTCCCTCTCCCGGCAAAGAATAAACAAAGAACTGATAAAAGGGATATCTTACAGCATGGTACCAACGACAGGAAATCTTTCAACCTTGTTAACTGCAAATCACTTATCAATCACAAGATTATTGGGGGGACTAGGAATCAAGAATCTCTGAATACACAATAAAAGTTTGTTGATGAAGTGGCTATGGAGGTCCAACCTAGAGGAGCAAGCTTTATGGTGTAGGGTGATATCTGACCATCGTGCACCAAACCAACCAAAAAAACATGTGGAGTGTCAGTTTGGAGAAGCATAAGGAATCTATGGCCTGAAATCAGGCAACTTAGAAACATTAGAGGGGGAAATGGCAGCAAAACTGTGTTCTGGCAGGATGTGCAATGGTACCTTGAAGGACCAATTCCGGATCTAGACGAGTTACTGGTTTCCAACAATGCTACGTATGTGACTTTTGGGGATGTGCAATGGTACGTAAGGACCAATTGGGAATGCCAGAGTATGTGACTTTTATAAATGGAAAACTTTCAAGGTTGCTCACAAGGCGTAGATATATGAAATGGAAAGGCTCCTGCAAAGGAGAATTCTCAGACAAGTCTTGTTAAACCGTGGCCTTGGAAACAAATATGGAAAGTCAAATGCTACTTATGTGGCAGCCAAACAGAAACCATTAGCGATCTTTTTTTGCACTGTCCTATTACAGACAAGCTATGGCAGCTAGTTCCCAACTTTGCTGAACCAAATGGTCCTTGCCTGGGAATACAAGGGATCTTTGTTGTTGTCGGAATAGGCAATGGCTGGACAAAGCAAGAAATAGCTGGTGTGGTTTACAATTCCAGCTTGTATCTGGTTGATGATATGGAGAGAAAGGAACTCAAGATGTTTCGAAGAGAAGCAAAAATCGAGGATTAAGTTAGACTATATCATTTTATTTCACTTTTGGTGACTTGGTGTAAAAAGGAATATGTGAATGAGGCAGAAATTTTATTATAATTCATAGAGGTTTTTGCTCACTTGTACAGTAACACCAGCGCTACCTTTGTACTTTTTTTAATACAATTATTACCATTTCAACAAACATAACAGAAACAACCTGAATTAGAAATGCTGCAACAAATCACAAATAAACGTACAAATAACACGCATAAAGAACATCATAACAATTTTAAGTAAAGGAGCTCATTGGACAAGTACCTTCTCAACCAAGCAAGGAAGGAAAATGGCAGCTTCAGCTTCAGTCATCATGTATCCCTCGTTCCTTAACATCTCAAAAAGCTCAGGCAGAAATTCCAGAACCTGAGAAACATTATCACAGTAAAGTACAGAAATGGCTTTAGGAGAGAAAGCAACAAAGCTAAAAAAAATAATGTGATCTCATTATGGAAAAGGACAAATAAAAAGAATAGGGATAGAAATAAACCTTGAGCAGGCAGGAAGTGTTTGATTCACAAAACCTCAGGACAAACCATCTCAGGGCTATATCAAGAACTTCAATTAGTTCCTTCGCAATTGATGGAAGTGCCTGAAAAGTGCAAAAGGAATATGGTTGATGATAGTGAATTAAAAAAATAATGTTAATTTAATGATAAAAGCACCTTTTGCAGCATCTCTATTCCATCAACTTGTTTCTTGAAGTCTGTACTTAGAAGCCTCCGGTGCAAATCCTCTCTGAAGTACTTCATCAGGTCAGTCTGTGCCATTAAACATTAATGAGATTAACCAATCAAATGAAAACTAAAGCAAGAATTATAATACTACAAAATGCAACTTCTTGAAACCTCAAGATCTTGTATTTGTTCCAACCGTGGCTCTTCAAACTTAAATCTGCGAACAACTATTCTCTCTCTTTCACCCTGTAAATGCATTCGGTCATAGCATTACTGAACAAAAAGGAACAGATAACACAAATACAATATTTCCTGAAATTAGATATACCTTGTGCGAGTCCTTAACATTTATCAAAGCTTGTGACTGGACACTAATGTCCTGAACAGACATTAAGGTCTCTTGCCTTGAGTTCCTTGTAGGAATAGCTCTCTAGAGAAATAAATAAAAGAAAGAAAATCAGTACTCCAGTTGCTCCCTGCCTTGAGCCGTTCAAGCACATAAAAACATACCGAAGCTCCAGCTCTGTTTCCATGCCTAGAAGCACGTTCAGCAGGACCAGTGGATTTTCCAGTCTTTGATCCCACCTTCGATGTTGTCCCAGTGGAAGATGTTCTTCCAAGATCAAAGGTTTCTGACAAGGAATAACAATTTATTGCAATCACGTAAACCAAAGATAAAATAATAGATTTGTAAAGAGCTACCACTACTAATGGACTAAAAAGAAAACATAAAGTTAGAACATAGCATATAGTGTACCTTGAAGTACCCCATATGGTCTCAATCGCTCAACAACGATAGCTAAAGCAGGTCCTTGAATATCTTTCAGGTTCTTGCTCACCTACATTAGAGAGAGACGCAATGAAAAAGAAAGACATATCAAGCAACTAATTGGAGTAAACAAGCAGAAAGAGCTTAAAACTATTTAAAGCTCATATACCATCTCCTGCCCGCACACTCTAAGAAGTTCTCCAAAGCAAGCTTCTGCTGCTTTCCGAACATCAGCTGATTTGTCCTAATATATAAAATGCAATCGCTTTAGAGCAAGATATAGACAATAAGGTCCAGTAAAAGGAGGCAGAGAATATACGGCAGAAACTGAACGATTAGGGCAAGAGCCATCAATTTACCGTCATAGCAGATGCAACAGGCTTTAGAAGGTGTACAGCATCAGGAAATTCTTTCATTACAGTTAGTTGTTTGGACAACCAATCAAAGAGATCTTTGCGGCCCTCCGCACCAAGTTTGGCATCAGTTAGTGCACCAGTAATGTAAGGCACCTACAATAACATGATTGTCAATGAGTTGAACAATGCAAACCAAAAACTAGAACATACTACAGAACTTGAGAGGTGGAGACCATTTTATCAAGATGAACAGCAGCAAGCCAAGAATCTAATGTATTCAAAGTGCACTCTCTCATGTGCTTTTTATTGTCACCAAGACATTTCAATATGTCCGACAGAATCCCCTGCAATGAAGAACATAATTGAATAATCAATAACAAGAAAAAAGACTGACACAACAAAATTGAGGTTCTGATCAAATTGAACCTTGCTCGACTTCTCAACTGCTGGTCCCATAGCTGAAGCAACACCACCAACAGTTGACAAAGTTGCTATGACTAAATTCTTGTTGCTGTCACATAGACGGCCCCTAAGAGCACCAAATAACTCTCCTGCACAGTTATGGGAAGAAAATATGAAGTGGCATTCGAACGCACACAAGTACAATTGCAAGATACCACTCACAACACAATAAGAACACCATACCAGTTCCAGTAGGTTGAATGCGCTTATTGGCCTCTTCCAATATCTTATTTACAGTTTCAATAGATTCTAAGCGAGCCTGAAACGGGAAACAAGAATTACAGCAGAACTACTAAGACACAAATTGCTGATAACATCAATAACATAGGGCGTACCTTCCAGTCAGAACTTTCCAGTCCCTTGAGCAAAGCAGGAGTTATCTTTCCACTAATGTCTTCACGAGGAAGACTATCTAGCCCACCGCTAGACAAAGATGGGGCATCTGATGTCTTCACAGTCTTCTTTGGGGCTACAGATGCACCCTACATATGGAGAAAAAGTTAAAGCCACAACTAACAAGGACTAAAAATGTCGAAGGCAATCAATCATACCTCAAATGGATTTTTGTCATATTCTGCATCAAGTGCACTAATAAGAGCAGGTTTTACATCAGACAAGAACCCTTTGATATCTGTAATTACAATAAGTACATTTCAGCTTTAGCCATAATCTAAAAGGCATGTAAGAATTATCCAAGAAGGCAGCTCACCTGGACCAACAAACTTGTGTAAAGCACCAATAAGTTTAATGGTTGCGTTTCTTGTAGCAGCGGCGCTGGATTGTAAGCCAGTATCTTTGCAGAAATCAATTAAATCCTGTAGGAAAGATATCCGTTTTCTTAGATTAAGCCACCCTAGATTGTGAATCAATCATGAGTGGAGTCAGAAGTTTACAAGCTCAGAATACCTTTAGTTTAAGATGTGAAATACCGAAGTCATCGACTGCCGTAACCATCCACAATATGCCCTCACTAAGAACCTTAGGGTTCTTGTGCTCTTTCATAATTTTATAAAGCTAAAATAAAGCAGATCAAAAAGGTATTAGCTGAGTATTGTTACCTTCTCAAAAAAAAAAAAAGGTATTAGCTGAGTAACATACAAGTATAGACAAATCGTATTTCAAAAGCTTAATCCAGATATCAGTATTTCCTAACATGAAGTAAAACCAAAAAGGACTGCATGTACAATACTTTACTTACTCTCTCAAAAACAAAACCTGGACCAACAGCTTCACAAAATGTAGTAAGACATTTCATGGCCTGAGCACGAGTCTTAATGTCAGCAACTCTTTCACTTACCCCTGACAGAAATGAATTCTAACTTAAAATCAGCCCCAAAAAAATAAGTGTGGTACAGTGATGCAACTAGTTAGGATAAATTGCATGGTACAGTGATGTAACTAGGTAGGAGAAAAAAGGCAAAGGACAATCGGCCAAAAAAGAAAATAGCATGGTACACTGATGAAACTAGGTAGGTGAAAAAGAAACAAGGGAGAGTGACCTTGAAGGCAAAGGACAACACATTTCTTTGGATATTTTGATGCAGTTGACGCAATGTGGGTAATTATATCAATAACCAGCTGCTGAACCTGCACTTTGATATATATTGACAAAAACCAAGAAAGCATATGACTTTTCCAGATCAATTATCTCCACTCAGGACAATTCAGGTAAAAGAGAAAAACCTGGACATTCTTTTCACTCCAACCAGGAACAGCACAGAGCAGGCGGACCAAAATCTCAACTGAAGGGTCAAGCTCTTTTAGAGCTTCAACCTGTTCTTTGAATGAACTAATAGCTGCATAAGATAGTAGAGAAATATTATCAACTGTTAAGCTAAAAAGAAACAAACATAGCTGTAAGGAATACATCAAAAAGCATATTGCACTCTTAAGATGTCTTCACATCAGATCCAAATGCAAGAAAGAAGAAACTGCAGGGACTAATAAAGAAAATTAGCAAGTTAAACAAACGAAACGAAATGCTTTTTAAAATAACTACCACAAAACTTGGCAACATTCGAATAATTGAAAGTTCACTAAAGTGGATCCACATCTTACATGGACGCATGCTAACTGCTATAGGGGTACATACATATAGCAATGACTAATAAAGAAAACTAGCAAGTTAAACAAACGAAACGAAATGCTTTTTAAAATAACTACCACAAAACTTGGCAACATTCGAATAATTGAAAGTTCACTGAAGAGGATCCACATCTTACATGGACGCATGCTAACTGCTATAGGGATACATACATATTTTACTAACCTACAGGATCCACTAATTGACATTTACTTAAAAATTCTGGTAGAAGGAGCTATAATAAGGGGATCAAACGCCACTACAGTTTGTATGGGTTAAAAGAAAGGTAGCACAGCATTCACCTACTTTCAAAGAAGTGCCACAGCAACAGAACACAGAATCAAGCAGTGAAAACACAACATTATCAATGTTCCTAGTGCAACAACAGATAGTGAAACTAAGACAAACAAAATCACAAAATAAAG